GCTTTTTTGAGGTTGATCGTCTTCCCCCACACAGGTTTTCAAAAAAAAAAAAAAAAAATTAAAAACAACATGAGGTGGTTTGGACACAATTATCTAAATCTCCAGGAGCTTTTACAAAAATAATCAGAAATTAGGGTAACACTCCCTGCTCCATTTTTCAGGCAGCAGTAGCTCTGGGCTAGAACTAAGTAACAACTTTGTAACAATGTGCTTCTCTGATCCCAACAACTGCCCTCGGCCCACTTCCTGTTACTAGCAGGCCACCGAGCTGCAGGATGGCAACTTGCTTCCTCTGCAACTGAACAGAGATGAGGGTATGAGCACTGAACAGTGAGCTCATTTCCAGGATAAATTAAAAGTGGTTTTTCCCAGATACCTAACCTATATACAATTTCTGTGAATAATGTGAAATTGATGCATTGAAATTAACTTTGTTAACCTAAGAGCGCATTTGGGAGTGGGGTAATATTTAAAGTTACATTTATATTTGTAGACAATTGATTGAGACTACTTTATTACCCCCACCTGGGAGAAGGCTGCCTGCTTATGGCTCCTGCACCATTTGGTTCAACCTAGTGGTGGCTACCTGAAATGTAAACACAACACCGTGCAGGTACTCAACAGCCTTTCTGGGGACAGAAGTATTTGTGTGTTTATTTGGTCAATGGATATATATTTTGTGTGGTAGGAATTATATTAATGTCTTATTATAATAACTGAAATCATGAAACATTTAAATGCACATAATTTCAACAATGTCGTAGGGTGAGTCTGTGCTATATAAGAACAGTACCAGGCACCAGGCAGCCCCAGTGGCTCAGCGGTTTAGCGCTGCTTTCAGCCCAGGGCGTGATCCTGGAGACCCAGGATCGAGTCCCACGTCGGGCTCCCTGCATGGAGCCTGCTTCTCCCTCTGCCTGTGTCTCTGCCTCTCTTTCTCTCTGTGTCTCTCATGAATAAATAAATAAAATCTTAAAAAAAAAAAAAACAAACAGTACCTGGATTCTTCACTTTTTCCAACATTCCATGGCTCCTTGGCTCAAATTCCTCTATTTGCCTACGGCTGCAAGGTTGATTTGGGGTTATGAATATTATCGTTCGTAGGTTCTTTCTAAATTACCATATAATTTATGCTAATTGTCATATTCTACATACCTCAAAGAAACTTATATAGAAAATATAATTATAGCTATTAGATTCTAAACTCTGGCAATTAGGTGATTCAAAGTGGCTCTTTTTTGTAATTCCTTACAAGCATAGCACAAAAGAGGAATGATATTTCCCACTGCAGTCCCAGCTGGGAATTCCAATTGTCCCATGATTTCACAGCTGAAATCATCCCCCACCCTCTCACACTTGTCTCTGGCCAAGGATGCTTTCCTTAATTAGTACATGACTTAAACTTCAGTCCAGACTTATCTGTTGCCTTGGTCCCTGGGCTACCTGAGCGTAGGCTCGTCTAAGAAAGAAAACCTTCTTGTATGTTGATGTTATTTTCCTGACATTGAACAAAAGGAAGAACAATTTGTCTGATTGTTGAATTTGCCTTATCAACAGAATTTACATTCTCTGGCAACTTCTCTTTCTTACAGTCTAGTCTGGTGTTTAGGCTTTGTACTTCTTTTTTTTAAATTTTTATTTATTTATGAGAGTCACACACACACACACACACACAGAGGCAGAGACATAGGCAGAGGGAGAAGCAGGCTCCATGCACCGGGAGCCCGACGTGGGATTCGATCCCGGGTCTCCAGGATCGCGCCCTGGGCCAAAGGCAGGCGCTAAACCGCTGCGCCACCCAGGGATCCCAAGCTTTGTACTTCTCTTTGTGATGTTATTATACTCTTATGGTTCTCATTATCTTCCCCATCTTAAGAATGGCCTCTAGAAAAAACAAAACAAAACAAAACAAAAAAAACACTAGGAGCTATGCCTCCATCTAAACCAGTGCAAGACAGCCTGCAGAGTGTGTTTGGAGGAGTTGTAAGGTCCTCCTTTTTTTGAGGCAGTAGGTAGCTCAAACTTACCTACTCCTTATCATGCAACTCAGGTGTGAAACATTAGAATGCACACGATTGACAATGTTAACAATGTCCTATAGAAAGACCTCTTTTTTTTTACTTTAAGTTTCCAGGATTCCTTTCACTCCTCTATTAAGCCACACAGACAATAGCTTTGTTCTAGAAGTCCATGTCAACTGCGTATATACTAGAGAAGAGAGAATATTTGAGGAAACCTGTGACTTGTGGCATTCTCTCTGATTGTCACTGATGTTTTAGATACATTTCCCTTAGAAAGGGCACTAAGAGAAGTTTATCCAAGGAGTTAGAACATAGGACAGAAAATGGAAATGGGGATAAGATGAAAGGAGAAGAGTACATATTTTGTTTATGAAGCAGCAAGTATTCCTTAAGTATCTACAGTATGCACGGTAGGATACTAGATACTGAGGGGAGATACAAAACCAATGCAATACACACCTCCAGGGATTTGAGATCCTCTGTAAGCTGACATACATTTGTAAGACTGGTAACACCGCCATGAGGCACAGGTCCAAGTGCTGACAATCAACAGTATGTGCTACAGCAGTCTTTCACAGAGGACATGGGGTTGGAGATTAAGAAGGAGGAAGTGCCTGACCTTCCTTACATGGGCACCAGTGACCTGGAACTGTACTGTGCATGGTGTTTTTTTTTTTTTTTTAATTTATGATAGGCACACAGTGAGAGAGAGAGAGAGAGAGGCAGAGACACAGGCAGAGGGAGAAGCAGGCTCCATGCACCGGGAGCCCGACGTGGGATTCGATCCCGGGTCTCCAGGATTGCGCCCTGGGCCAAAGGCAGGCGCCAAACCGCTGCGCCACCCAGGGATCCCTGTGCATGGTGTTTGATGCAGAAAAAAAGGAAACTATTCAGGCTAGAATGAAAGATGTTCTTTGAGCCACTGAAGGCAGGTGTTGAGACTTTACCAATGGGCCCTGGCCACTATAGATATCTGAATAGACGCATAACATTATGAAAAGGATGTCTTAGGAAGAACTGTGTCAGTGGTGGGTTTGAGGGGGGAAACACTGGATGAGGAATGACTCGTAGAGAACAGCAGAAATCCAAATGTGCCTAGGATGGTAACTAGGAATAAATGTGAAAGGAAGAAAGGGGTTTATGTGTGTGTGTGTGTTTTGTGTTTTGTTTTGTTTTGTTTTGTTTTGGATTGCTGGGCATGGAAAAGTACTGAGATAGAAAGGGTAAAGAGGATTGAAGTTTACAGCCTGAGTGACTCAGCCTGAGGGGGTGACCTAAGTATCAGCTCGGTGATGCAGTAAAGGGAAAAGCCCCAGATTTCAGTAAGTACAATCATGGAATCATGAGGTTTTAAAGCTAGAGAGGGCTCTAGGGATTATTTATTCCGGCACTTCGTCTTGTAGGAGAGCAACTGAGGCAAAGGGCAGATATGTGACTCAATCCAGGATAGTGAGCAAGGGAGGGAGGCAAGACTGTAGCAGCCCCCATGTATTCTCCCACCACGTCATCCTGCCTGCTTCACTGTCCTTTCTGCATCATTCTCTGTCTCTCAAACTCTGGACTCGCAGGCAAATTTGACAAAATAAGAAAAATAGACTGAATTTCTCAAAAAGCTAAATTCATTCATTTAAAGAACTGACCTTTATTCTGTGATCATGTACTGGCTAATGGTGTTAAAATCTCCTTTCGTGTATGAAATGAAGCGCATTAATAGCAGTAGTGCCATTTTTTTTTTTACCGTTTTTCTTAGCACAATAAGAGCGAATAATTTAAGTTCTTTCTTCAGTTTGGGATTTTTTTTTTTTATACTGGTCTTGAAAATCTAAATATCCGAGAGTCACTTCTCTGCAGGATGGCAAATTGTGTGTGATCTTTTCCAAGCCATACCGGTCGGGGGGTGGGGGGGTAAATAGTAGCCATAGAAAAGATTACAGAACAGTGTTTTCCTGTCTCTGCTTCCACCTGCAAGGCCAGGATTAGTAATTTTCTCTCTATCAAAAATAGGTCTCTTGCTGGTACTGGGCAGGAGCCCAGGGGATGGACACTGGTCTATGGGGAGGGGATGAGAGATGTCCCCTCCCCCCACGGTTCTGAATCTGATTCTTGGCCTTAGACCAAGGCTTGCTGGTAGTAGCGGCCCGGCAGTGAGCCCCAATATGGACCCCAATCCTTTGGCATGGCCATGTGATACTTCTTTAATCCTCAGTCGTTTGTAAAGTCTTCTGCAAAAGTGGCATCAAGGCACCTTTCCATGCAGACCGCCTTGTTGCAGAAAGCCGCAGGCCCTTACGGAACTAGACCTTGCTGGGCTATCCTGCCTGGGTCCCGGTAAGGCTCCGCGACGCCTCAGTCCTGGTCTGAGCTCAGTCCCGGGATAGGTAGAACCTGCAAGGGACCCTGAGCTGCAGGACTCAGGTGCATTGGGTTAGCAGGCAGGAAGGCCGGTGGCAGCGACCTGCAAAGAAAGCTGCCCCGCTTCCTCCTCAATATGACCTAATGGGAAGAGCACCGCACGGAGAATTAAGGGATCTGGCTGCCTGTCCTGCAATTTAGGGCGCTAAACACGCCAGTCCACATGGGCCTGGTTCCTCAATTCCCGAACTCCGGGTCTACGATTCCTTCTAGGAATACGAGCTCCCAAAGTCCAACAGGACTTGGTAGCAGTGTTGGCGCGGAAAGCACCCAGCGCCCGCCAGACGCGCGAAGCCCCAGACTCTCGAGACCCCACCCTGCAGCTTCCGGGCGAGCATCCGTGGGCGGCGTGCGCGTCCCCGCGGGGCTCGACGTGCGCGTCCCCGCGGGGTTCAGCGTGCGCGTCTCCGCGGGGTTCAGCGTGCGCGTCTCCGCGGGGTTGCAGCCGCCGCCGTGGCCGGGCCGGGCCCGTCTGGGGGGCGGGGCCGGGCGGGGCGGGGCCGAGCGGGGCGGGGCCGCCTGAGGGGGGCGGCCGCCGGGGGAGGTGGCAGAGGCCCCGGCCGGGAGGAGAAAAGGCGGCGGCCCGGCGGGGCTGAGAGGCCCGGCGGCGGAGGCGGACCGCGCGGGGCTGCGGGGCGCGGAGCGGCCGGGACCGCGCGGAGCAGCCGAGCACGGCGGCCTCCGCAGGCAGGGCCGCGCGGGGCGGTGAGTGTCGGGAGGCCGGCGGGGGAGGCCGGAGGCGGCGGCCGGGCCGTGCGAGGCCCGCGGCCGTGGGTCGGTCCCGAGGGCCGGGCCTGCGCCGAGCGAACAGAGCCGCCCGCGCCGGCGCTGCGGGTCCCGGGCCGCCGTCCGCGGCTGGGCGTCCGCGCCCGCGGTCCCGCCCGGCCCGCCGAGGAGGGACGGCAAATGGCGCCCCGGGGCCGGGGACCGACCCCCGTGTCACCTGGCCTGTCTGGGGGCGGGGGGCGGGGGGCGGGGCTCGGGACGCCCTCGGGACCTCGGGAACCCGGCGTCGGGCCCCTCTGCCTTCGAAGCTGGGGTGTGTGACGGGGGACGGTCGGTGCGAGGAAGACGGGGCCGCGCCCTCCGCTGTCCTCCGGGATGAGTGAAGTTGGTAACTTTGCCATCATGGTAGCGAGCGGCTCCCGTCTTAGCCTCAGCCCCTGTTAAAGGGAAACTTCCTGATTTCTAGGTCCGGGGGCTGTGGCCCCTTGTAAGTCATTTGCGGGCCCTTGCTCGCAGGGGGCCGTGGGGTGCGCGTTGGGTTCCGAGTCCGGTCGTCGGGGTCGGTTGTCGGCCGGAGGCCCCGCGTGTTGTCGACCGCGCCGCTTCCCGCACTGCGTTCGCCTCTTGTTTTTCTTTGCGAGCCGTGTCGTAAGTCCCAGATAAAGGGTGGTTGTTGGGAAGGAATTGACCTCTTATTCCATAGCCGCTTTGTTGACCCTGATCCAAGATGACGCTATTTACGGGCATTCTGATACCAGTGCAGATAGATGAAAGCTTAGCACTTTGAATAAATACGAACTTCCCGAACTCTTCGGGCTGTTTGTGCGTGTGCGTGTGCTGCTTTGCAATACTGCCTTGTGTGTCCTTTAGAGACCTAAGAAGTTATAGGAACAGACTGTGCATTTGCCCGTATTTATTAAGGTTTTAGAAAGCACTCCAGTTTTCCAACGCAGCAAAGGGAAAAGAATAGCATAAAATGCATGTTTAGGATTTCTCTTTTCTTTTGTCTTTTTTTTTTTTTTTTTTTTTTACTTGACAGAGAGAGCACAAACCCGGAGCGGCAGGCAGAGGACGGGGACGAGCAGGTCCCGGCGCCGCCGCCGCAGGGAGCCCCGTGTGGGATCCCGGGATCTTGAGCTGGGCCAAAGGCAGACGCTTAACCGAGCGGGCCACCTAGGTGCTCTCACTTCCTTTTTTTTTTTTTTTTCTTTTTTTAAAGAAAATACTTTTTTTATTTATATTAAGAATTTTTCTAAGGGTTCATTTTTTTCAGTTGTACACAGTTTCCGCTGAATCACTGTTCTTCATGCTTAGTCACAGTTTCTGACTCCAGAAGCTTAATCGGGGATAACATGGTGTTTTGGTAACTTGTAAGTTGCCGATTCGTTTTTATCTAGTACTTTCATGCAGTGGCATAAGGTTTCTGTGTGTGTGTATGATTCTGGAAATATTCGGTGGAGTTTTGTAAATGTTCTCAGAGAACTGAAGTTTCTGATACAGGCAAACTTTTATGCACTCTGGGTGTGCTGGGTATTTTATTTCAATCCAGTATTTCTCCCATCTCTAGCGTTGGACACTTTTAAAAAAAATACAAAGTGTCATAATAAAATACCTATTAAAGGACAATAACACTTTGAAATAACACATATAGTTAGGCAGGTACTTTGAGGTCACCACGTGGGTGTGGTTAATGTGTGTTTACTATTGGATACACTGTATTACTGAAATGTGGCTTTTAATGGGATAAGTCCTATGCTACTTTGTATGATTTTGGATACATCTTCCCCCCCCCCCCTTTTTCTTGGATACTCTTTTAACTGAGTTCCTAGGATTGTTTCATTCAAAGGACGTATTTGGCTTCTTTGACAGTCTTCAATCATAGACTATGTAAAATACTTAATTTCAAATTCAGGTTGATGAAATATGTGAGATTGGCATTGGGCTCATGGTTTTTACATTGTAGGTAGCTAGATAGTTAAATACAGATAAGCATACCTCAATTAAAATCCAGTCTCTGAAAATCCTTTACAAAAAAGGTACATCTTTTCATTGGAAAATGTTAACTAACATAGGTTATTTTCTCATGCAATTGCTTTTTATAAGGTTTACAAGTAGAAATGACCTGATATAAAAAATAGTTTTATAGAAAGCTTTGCCTACATAAACATGGCTGTTGTGTAAAGTGAGTACATCCCTTTTCTGAGTATTAGACTGTATCCTGTTGGATATACACATAACCAATCTCTGTAGAGTTCTAAATTGTTTTCACAGTAGAGTAATTGCCTCAAGGTCACAAAGCTGAGATCCCTTGGAAACCCCTTCCCCTGTGCCATGCTGCCCATTTTACTAAGCTGAGTACCACCATTTAGGTGTATTATTTTTATCTGAGGATCGACGCAAACAGGTTCTAGTCCAAAGCGTTAAATATTAATATTATTTTAAGTTCTGATGTAAGTCTGTAATAATTTCATTTGCTTATTTAGTGGAGAACATTGCAAGTAGTTAGAACTATCACTTTGGAATTAGCTACTCATGACCATATTTAGACACAGAAGGTATATGTTTTGATTATATCATAACTGGAAGGGTGAAACATTTGACAATTTTCCATATAATTAGGTCGTCATTCTATAAATAAAAAGAGCTAAAATTTGATAAAAGGAATGAATACAGTGTAACCCACTTAGCCATTTTGGACTCATCAGGAGTGCAAGTGCTTTGAGTTTGGAGTTTAAGGTAGTGGATTTTTAATCCTGCCTAGTCACCGCACACACACACCCCCCACACACACACCCCTTTTAAACCAGTGAAATAAGATGTCCAGCTGAGGTTATAGATTTGCTGTGGTCTTTAAAACTGCATTTGGTCAGCAAATCACCCAGCAGGTGTTTGTATTTAATATTAATTGTACAACTAATTGTATTACTCTAGTACTATACAAGAAGGATGAGACTTACGCAGAGGAGCTTATAACTGATTGCTAAATGTAAAATTTCAGTCACAGACTTGTGTTAACTAATTGAACAGGTCTGTCTAGTTCTATTTCAGCCTCACATTGAAGCAACATAGAATAGAATTGTTTCATCTAGTACCATATTAACTGCAATATTAAACAGTTGGCTGATGCCACTTCCTTTTTTGAGCCGCTTTTCTTAGCCCTGTACCTACTCAGGCACGTGCGTATGTGTGGACACCTCAACCTCTGCTTTTCGTGTCGAAACTGATGCCTCTATATCCAAGTAACCAGTAACCAGAGCACACAGTTGATTAGGGAGTTAAAATAGTGGGAAAATATACTAGTAAATGTTTACTTCTGTGCCTTTTATGACTATTTTTTAAGATTTTAAAATAATGGAAGGTTGAAATGAACTTTCTTTGATTTCCTTGTCCCTTTGACTTGCTTTTTTTTTTTAATTTTTATTTATTTATGATAGTCATAGAGAGAGAGAGAGAGAGGCAGAGACACAGGCAGAGGGAGAAGCAGGCTCCATGCACCGGGAGCCCGACGTGGGATTCGATCCCGGGTCTCCAGGATCGCGCCCTGGGCCAAAGGCAGGCGCCAAACCGCTGCGCCACCCAGGGATCCCGGACTTGCTTTTTTTAATAGACGGTTTATCTTACTCTATATATAATGCTTGGAATGTATGACTTAGGAACTCAGTAAATGTTTGAGCGCTATAGACTTTTTATAGCTGGTACAATAAGGTAATTTTGACTTAATTTGATTGCGTAATACTAGGTTTGTAAAATTGTATTTTTTGATGAAGTATATGTAGTTTTCCATGAAATCAAGAATCTCGTTTTGGAATCCATTTGCCTGTTTATTATAGTATAAATCTTTCATTTATTCATTTTTCTAAAATAAGTGAAGCTCCAATTAGGCACAGTCTGGAATATAGGAAACATAGGAATGGATGAGAGTGAGATGGTTCTGCCACCTTCATGGAGCTTATAGTTTTCCTGTGGAGGTAGATATTAAAGGATAATGACTAGTTGTGACTAGTATAACCAAGGAAAAATACAATGTGTAATGAGCACACAGCATCATATGAGATCCATACCTTTGTCTTTGGTATTTGGAAAGTAACATATGGGCCGAGATTAAAGATTTGAGGCAGCAGTTATGGGGTGGGAGGGCGCCGCCCATCTTTGCATGTGTCTTGCTGACAGAGGTACACATAGCAGCAGCAAGCTGTGTTGAGTGCTTTGAGTGACTTGACTTAGCATATTTTAAAAACACACTAACTTGCAATGCTTTATTTATCTCCTTAATTATTTTAACGAATCTGGAAAAATAAAGAAATGGTTTTCTGAAGGCAATTATTTTTATGTATAGAAATAGCTTTAAATAACAAGGCCTCCTTTCACTGTATGGGACAATGCCATGTCTTAAAACTATTTTTATGGATTGCTTGTCAGTCACAGAGTATGAATTGGCCAAGAATTTCTGTTTGAAAAAATTGAAACTATTGTAAAACATTTAATCATTTACAAATATTTTCTTTCTTTTTTTTACTTTTTTTTTTTACAAATATTTTCTAATCTAATGAGACTTCTTCCAGTTGTTCAAATTTAAGTGTAAATTATAGAGATGTTACTTGGAATGTTAAGATTCGTTTTCAAGAGAGTTTAATAAAACTTAATATTGAGTTTTAAATTAAGGTTATGTTGAACTTGAAGCCTCATTTTTAGCAACATGTTTTCTGATGGGCCTGCTGTGTCACTGTTCAACTGATATATCAGGGACGGATGTTTTAAACTCGTTTCACAGAATTCATGAGCAATTGCAAGATACTTTATGGAGGCATATTTAATCTGGTAATGATCTTGATTAGAAAAAGGATGGATCAAAAAAGAAAAAGAAAGAAAAAGGATGGATCTGAAAGTTTTAATTTCTGAAGCGGAGGGTTTTATTCCCAGAATACTCTGGTTATTTTCTAGTCCATTTTCTTAACTTATTTCTTAATATATTTACTTGTAAAATGAATTACACTTGATTCTTTGTATAGCTAGCTGTTTTGAAAATGGCGAAATTTATATTTTTCTGCAAATTTTACTTTCAAATGCAAGTTATTTTAAAAATAGTCTTTAAAACTGATATTCAAAGCAAAGCTATGTGCTATTGTAATCACAGAGAGCCAAAAAGACTTTCTTGACCACAGGGGTGATTAAGTGTTGGAATAAACTACAAGCAAAATTGTGTAACCTCCATTCCTCAAATAACGTCTTAAAATTGGATCACCAGTTACTGAAGTGCTGCCTGTTTTCTTAAACTTTTATGAGTAAACGTATCTGTTGTTGTCCATGTGCATTGATCCAGATCCAGATTGAAATCCTAGTTCTGCCACTTACTAGGGGATGACCTTGGACAAGTCCCTTCAGCCTCTCTGAACCTCAGTTTGCTCTTGATTGTTATGAGGATTAAGGAACATTAAGTGAGAAAATTGGAGACAGGAGAAAACTGGTACAAATTAGTGTTCTTTTTTCCTTCTAAGTCTGCTTCAGTAAAGAGATATTGTGCACTCATTGCTGTGGATATTTTTATTTTTTAAAAACAGTTTTCTTTCTTTAAAAAATATTTCACTTATTTATTCATGAGAGACACACAGAGAGAGAAGCAGGCTCCATTCACGGAGCCCGACTGGCACTCATCACAGGTCTCCAGGATCAGGCCCTGGGCTGAAGGCGGCGCTAAACTGCTGAGCCACTCGGGCTGCCCTTAAAACAATTTTCTTATTCTGAAGGGAGTAGTGTGGAATTAACTATTTACTTTGAAGCTTGAGAGCCCTCTATGTCTTCCTTTCAAACTTGTTGCTGTTTTACATTGAACTTAGTTGTCTATAGCAGTTGCTATTTTAAACACTTTTGAATTAAGTGATATTTCCGAGATGTGTTCGGCCTAGTGTGGTCATATCATGTGCACATAACATTAAGTGTTCCTACAAGTTGCGAGAGCAGTGGTCACTTCTGTGGAACTGCTTGTATTTTTAGGTTCTTTTTTAGTAACAGGCTTATAACCCTCAGCATGTGAGATGAACTCCATCTAGTTGTTGCAAAATAAGAACACTACAGCTGCTTTCATAATCTAATCACTTGGTAAAATTTGCCTTAATTCTTACTAATGTTTCTTTTTTAACATCTGTTTAATTTACAAATGTTTGTCGTCATTAGGCTGTCATTTCTTCTACTGTGATCTTTAGCATGTCTGTGTTTAACTTATGGGTTCTGTCTTAACCTATAAACATTCAGAAGTATTTGATTCACCCCTATTATCAGTAAGTGCCATAATATCAACTCAGAACTTCTCTACTTAATCAGTAGAGCTCTAACAATATGAGGTAGACTTTTGTTATTTTGTTTTTGTTTGAGGAAAATCAACCCTGGACTGGACAAAAATAAATAGCAATTTCAGGAGTAATTATTTTACATTAGCTAACTGGAACCCAGATAGCACTTGTAGAAAAATATGTCAGAGAATTAGGAATCTTGTATGCATTGAAGTGATGAAAACAGGCTAATAATTGACTTATTTGCCCAGCAAATTGTTGTCTATTACAGTGTAATTTAATTTGGGGAATATTGAGATGAGTTGCCTGTCTCATTTGGCTGTAGAGATCTGAAGTTTGGGAGAGGGATCTGGGCAAGGGTTATAGAGAAGTTTTCAGCATATGGGTGGTAATTGAAGCTTTTGAGAAATTGAGAGCACCCAGGGAGGATGTATAGAATGAACATATATTGTATAGAAATTGAGAGCACCCAGGGAGGATGTATAGAATGAACATTTCTTTTGTTGAAAATGACATGATTCCTGAAGAGGAACATTTTAGAAGAAGAGATTAAGGAATAACCAAAAAGGTAGGGAGAAAACCAGGGAAATAAAACATCCTAAGGAAAGACAAATTGTTCAAAAAAGAGGGAATAGTCATAATGAAGTCTGTAAAAAAAAAAAAAAAAAAAAAAATGCCCTTTGGTTTTAGCCCGGAGGATCTCAGAGAAGTTTTAATGACTGGCAGTCAAAAGAAAGCCAGATTAGAGGACTGTAGAGCTTATGGGAGGTATGAAGGGTTTTTGTTGTTGTTTTAATTGGTTTTTCATTTTATTCTGGAAGCTTGAAAAGGAAAAACAATAGTAGAGGGAGATACGGTTTTATTATTTAGGTTTTAAAAAATGAAATAGTTTTTTTTAAGTTTTTACTGCTCGTAGGAACAAGCCAATAAAGAAGTTGAAGATTATAGACAAAAACACATTGAATAGGATTAGTACTTCTATTTAAATCAGTATATTGTACTGATATACTGCACAGTGATTTCCTGTTACCTAAAGTCTGAACTCCTTAGAGCAACATATAGCACAGTCTTCATGATTTGCTTTATTTCTATCATCCTGCCCTATCTCACAGCTACCTAGCATTACACCTTGTGATCCAGCAATGCTAGGAAATTTGTGGTTTCCTGATCATGTTTTGCTACTTGTTTTTCTCCATTTACATATGCTGTTGCTTCAGCATTGAATACTTCCCTTCCTTGCCAATGCTCTCCTTCCATGCTTAAGATTTCCCATCTTTGAAGATTACTGTGAATTCTTCTCAAGCCCCTACACTTAGTGATAATTATCTTCTCTGTGTTAATCCGATTTTACTTTTGTCAGATTGATCACATAATAACATGACATGACTTTTACTGTTGTATCTCTGACCTCCTGCTCTAGCTCCTTGAGAGGAGGTACCATGTCTGACTAATCATTATATTGCCAAACCAAACACAGTGCATAGTAGTTAAACAATAAATAGGTGTTGAATGAATGAATGGAAACTGTGGCCCTCAGAAGTAAGTGATTTGCGCATAGCCAGGAACTGGAGCTGGAACTTGTATTTTGTAAATTCCCTGTTTGTTTCAATTAAGGCTTATTGTGGTGATTTGGTGTAGAATGTATTAAGGCATATGTAGGAGTGATCAATAGATGAAATCTTAAATGAATTCCTGTATTTAGGGGAATAAAAAGAAAACCTCTAGTAGTATTAGTTAAATATATTCATGAAATTCAGATCATTCTCTCTTAAGAATATGATGAGGTCAGTGTACTATGGAGTGCTCCAGAATCAGTTTATTTGAAACTGAAAAAGTGAAAGCTGAAGCATTCTTTGAAATCTAAAAGTCAGGGCAGCCTGGGTGGCTCAGCGGTTTAGTGCCGCCTTCAGCCCAGGGCGTGATCCTGGAGACCCGGGATCGAGTCCCACGTCAGGCTCCCTGCATGGAGCCTGCTTCTCCCTCTGCCTGTGTCTCTGCCTCTCTCTCTGTGTATCTTTCATTAATAAATAAAAAGCTTAAAAAAAAAAAGAATAGCTTCCCCCTTTAAAAAAATGAAATCTAAAAGTCAAATATGCATAAATTTGTTTTTGGCATCAATTTATATACTACACAGTATACTAGAATTGTAATAAGCATTATATTTTGAAACATTTGGCCTCTTAGGCATGTTGTTATATGGTATATAGAAATGAACTTTTGCATTGTTACTTGATATGAAGTACACAAGTTGTTTCAAGATAAATTGATTATATGTAAAATAAACTTGTTCAGTATGCTTATTTTATATATTTCATCATAAGATAAGTCACTATACCTTTATGACTTGATTTATGTTATTCAGCAGTTTTTAAAAATTAACCACTTCTTGCCTAATTTCTTTTTTCCATCTCAACAACTAGAGTTGGACTGGCCATTATGGAGGAGGAGCTGCAGCATTCACACTGTGTGAATTGTGTCAGTAGACGGTGTATGACCAGACCAGAACCTGGGATTTCCTGCGACTTGATTGGTTGTCCATTGGTGTGTGGAGCAGTTTTCCATTCTTGTAAAGCTGATGAGCATCGACTTTTATGTCCATATGAACGAGTGCCTTGCTTAAATAGTGACTTTGGATGTCCATTTACAATGGCTCGAAATAAAGTTGCTGAACATCTAGAGATGTGTCCTGCAAGTGTGGTGTGCTGTACTATGGAGTGGAACCGATGGCCAGTTAGTTATGCAGATCGGAAATCATATGAAAATCTAAGCAGAGATGTTGATGAAGTGGCACAATTAGATATGGCCTTGGCCCTTCAAGACCAAAGGATGCTTTTAGAGTCTCTCAAAGTAGCCACCATGATGTCAAAAGCGACTGATAAAGTATCAGAACCTAGAGAACAAATCTCAGTTAAATCAAGTGTCCCAGAAATACCACATGCTAATGGTTTGGTGTCTGTTGATGAAGAATCTTACGGTGCACTTTATCAAGCTACTGTAGAAACAACCAGAAGTTTGGCAGCTGCTTTAGATATCCTGAATACTGCCACAAGAGACATTGGCATGTTAAGTACAAGTCTTTGCGCTTCCCCAAGTGAAATGAATGAAGAGCAAAATGCCAGGGGAGGCTTGCAAAATAAACACTTGAAAGACCAGGACCATCTTTATGAGGATGAGATAGGAGCAGTAGGTGGAATTGACCATAACAACGCAAGTCTGGATGTCCAGTGTGAACAAAATGGTTCCAGTGATTTATTGTGTGACTCGAATACCAGTTCTTATGTCACTTCTGCTCTTTGTAATGGCTTTTCTTTGGAAAATCTATGTACACAGGCCATGGACCAAAATCAGAAATTACATGGTGATTCAAAACAAAGTACCTTAACGAATGGAGAATGTATAGCATCAGATGGCACCTCACCACCTTCCAGTTCACTTTCAGTAGCAGCACAACTTAGGGAAGCACTACCATCTAGTGCTCTGCCTAATGGCACAGTTCAGCATATCCTCATGCCAGATGATGGGGATGAAGGAGCTTTGTGTTGGAGAAAAGTAGATTTAGGAGACTTGAGGAATGTTGATGTCTTATCTTTAGGTCATCCTCCATTCAAATTTCTTTCTAACTCCTGTTGGTCTAAACCAAAAGAGGATAAAGCAGTAGATACATCAGATTTGGAGGTTGCAGAAGATCCAATGGGCCTCCAAGGAATAGATCTAATTACAGCAGCATTGCTCTTTTGTCTAGGAGATTCTCCAGGTGGGAGGGGTATATCTGATAGTCGCATGGTTGATGTTTATCACATTGACTTTGGGACTCAGACTTTTTCACTTCCATCTGCAATATTAGCTACAAATACAATGGTTGGAGAAATAGCTTCAGCTTCAGCTTGTGATCATGCCAACCCACAGCTTTCAAATCCAAGTCCTTTTCAGACACTTGGGCTGGATTTAGTATTGGAATGTGTTGCTAGGTACCAACCCAAGCAGCGTTCAATGTTTACATTTGTTTGTGGACAGTTATTTAGGAGAAAAGAATTTTCTTCCCATTTTAAGAATGTGCATGGTGACATTCATGCTGGACTCAATGGCTGGATGGAACAGAGGTGTCCTTTAGCATATTATGGTTGTACCTATTCTCAGCGTAGATTTTGTCCATCAACACAAGGAGCAAAGATTATCCATGACCGCCATTTGAGGTCATTTGGAGTTCAACCATGTGTATCTACAGTATTAGTAGAGCCTGCTAGAAACTGTGTATTGGGATTACATAGTGATCATCTAAGTAGTCTTCCATTTGAGGTCCTACAACATATTGCAGGCTTTCTTGATGGCTTCAGTTTATGCCAGCTCTCCTGTGTATCCAGGTTAATGAGGGATGTATGTGGCAGCCTGCTTCAGTCTCGTGGAATGGTCATACTGCAGTGGGGGAAAAGGAAGTATCCAGAAGGAAATTCGTCATGGCAAATAAAAGAAAAGGTTAGTTGAATCTTAACTATATCATCCCCTTATTTGACATACAGTAGATACTTAATGTTGCAGAATTAATAAAGTTAAAATCTTGTTGAAAAATTGACCTCCCTTTAAAACTTATACTTTAATTCAACAGACTTTTTAAAAATAATAATTAATGAAAAACTAGACTTTTTGTCATAATCACATGTTTACTACAGCCATCCTAGTACTAGGTTCTAATTTAATATGACGAAGGCCACTTCTGTTACTTCGGTTGAGCAGTTCTATACTCTGTTCTGTAACAACTCCTTTTGAGTCTGTGTTAACTGCCTTCTAATTTGAGTTCCATCTGAAACATTTTCACTGTAGGACAATGGAAGAAGCAAGAAGAGGTTTTCTGCTGCTTATAATTGGCAGTTTCTTTCCATTCCTAGCAACTTCTTTCTCAGAACTTAGTATTTCAGGTAGAACTTAAAAAGAGGGAAATGAGAAGAGTTACAGCTGCTACTACTAGTAAGTGACCAATGGAGTATTTGGGGTCTAGAAAACATGATGGATGTGGAAAAGTGTTAGGTCGAAGTGAGGTAAGAGTAGGGTAGTTAGATTTGATATTGGTAGGGACTCTGGGTTTAGTAGAGTACAAGAGAGTGTTGCATATTGGAGGCTTGACCTGTAGATGTAGCAGATCTGGGAGCAAGTCCTGGGTCCACCATTTTTCTCTTGTGAAAATCCATTTTAGCCCACCTTTATTTTATTTTGTTTTATTTTTATTTATTATTATATTTTAAAGTAATCTCTACACCCAACATGGGGCTCAAATTCACAACACTGAGATCAAGAGTCAATATGCTTTACTGACTGAGCCAGAAAGGCACCCCTACTTTTGTCTACTTTCTGTTTGAGGCACTAATAGAAACTAGAAGTCATTATAAATATATTTTATTGCAGGAGTTTTTCATTTTAGAATATAAACATTTTGCATTTTATAAAGTAAGAAAAGTTTGGCAAATTTCACTTTGGTTGCAGAGTTCAAATTTCTGGCTTTGTTTTTACCACCCTTAGTTTTTCTCAGATTTTTTACTTATTGCTCCAGTTTTTCAGAATTCTACATCATCATCTGTGTTCTTCTGAGGCTTTGACCAACAATTTGAATATACTATTTATTTTATTATGTTTTTCCCCAAATGGGAATTTTGATGGCAGAAAGTTTTATACTTGCTGTGTATATGTGTGTATACACATACAGATAACTTGGTATCTTTCTACCATTTGAGATGGGGTACTTTGAGCATGATCTCTTTTTGTCCTTGCCCACTAATATTGACCTATGAGATGAAATATTTTCTAGGGATTCTATTCCTGCAAGAAAATCTTACCTACTCTTGGAGTTTAAATTATCATCATTTATACAGATTACTCATACATCCATATCCTGGCCACTTTCTCCTGAACTCCACAGTGTTATATACAAGCATCTTCACTTGATTATCTCACAGGTTCATCAAAAGCAGCATGTCCAACCTACTCCACATCTTTATTCCTCTTTAAAAAAAAAAAAAAGATTTATTTTATTTTAGAGAGTTTTGTGCACATTGGGGAGGAGCAGAAGGAGAGAGAGAATGTCAAGTAGACTCCCTACTGAGCACAGAACCCACTGTGGGGCTCAATCTCACCACCCTGAGACCATGAACTGAACTGAAACCAAGAGTCAGATGTTCAACCCACTGAGCCATCCAGGTGCCCCTCTGTCCCTCTTAATCTCAGCGAGTGGCATTATTATTTATCAGATTGCCTAAACTAGGAATTTGGGAGTAAGAGTTGACTTCTTTTATTCCCCTTTATTTCCATATCTAGGTAATCATAAAACCCTCCTGAGGCTTCCTTCTTCATACCCCTCAGGTTTGCTTTACTGTTCCCACTGCCTAGTTCTATCCTCTTCAACTCTCCACAATAGCCTGACTGGGTTTCTTTCTTTTTTTTTTTTTAATTTATTTTTTATTGGTGTTCAATTTGCCAACATACAGAATAACACCCAATGCTCATCCCATCAAGTGTCCCCCTCAGTGCTTGTCACCCAGTCACCCCCACCCCCCACCCACCTCCCTTTCTACTACCCCTTGTTTGTTTCCCAGAGTTAGGAGTCTCTCATGTTCTGTCTCCTGACTGGGTTTCTATTCCTAACTGGGTCACTTCCCAACATACTCTCTTTATAAGGACTAGAGTGATAAATATTTTCATAAATACAGTTCTTACACTATAGTTTTTAATAGTTTTTAAGTTTTTATACTTTTTATGTTTGTTCATTGCTCTGGGACAGAGAAAGACTCCTTAATGAACCATTTAAGACTTAATAATCTTGTTCTTACTTACTTCTTCAGTTTCTTCTTGTCATTTCATATTCCAGCTATGTTGATTTACTTACAGTTTCCTGATGTTTTCTTTCTTCACTTCTTGCCTTAGGGCCTTCAGATGTGCTCCCTAACACAATACCTACATCTGAACACTTGCAATATCCTAGACTTCTGTTAACCTATTTACTCTGTCTCTATTTTATGGATGAAGAAATTGAAGTTTAGAGAGCTGAAGTAATTTGTCCAACCAATTGATGGATTCACATCTAGGAAACCTGTCTCTGGAGTTTGTGGTGTTCATCATCTGCTCATTTTACAGATCTTACTTCTTTAGGAAAGCCTTCTGGAACCTTACCCTGAAGCTTTCAGGGAGGTGTACTGCTCTGTACTCCAATATATTTCTTCTACTCCGCATACCCCTACTAGAGCACTCTGTATGCTGTTTTCATAATTCACTGATGAATTGTTGGTTTCATTGGACTGTAAGGTCCTTGAGAAGTGAGACTCTGGGAACCAAATATCTACTGCCTAGAACCTCACTGCCATGTAGTGGGCACTAAGTAAGTACTTGAGGAATACTTCTGGATGAAAGCCCATTATTAAGAAACCATGTCATCAGAAGATGGGAATCATCCATTTTTTTCTTAGTGTTTCACCAGATTCTTGTGGAAGTGGGGAGGCTGTCTGCCGTGATTGAATCTTTCATGAATTTGTTCTGCTGAGGCTTAACAAAACTCCTAATTCTTCCTATAGTTTCTTAGGTATGGGGAATTGTAAGGGAGGCTAGTGATATCTGTAATGTCTATTGGTAGCTACTCTCTAGGCGTTCATGGACTCCTGGGAAAGAACCCTACAGTAGGCATAATCAATATAATAACCCTAAGGAATACTGGGAGTAAGTACCTTTTATGCTGAACAGTGGTGATTTCTGTTGCCAGCTGAAAAATAAGTGTTCCCAAAGAAGTTGAAGGTATCTGGCCACCTTGGAAGGCATTACCTTCCTTTCATGAGACGGTCTAATGAGTGCTGAAGGCTTTCTTCAAATCCGTGGCTGCTTTCTTAGAGTATCTGCTGTTTACTGGACATTCAGTGTGCACTAACATTTGCCTGGTGATGAGCTTAGCTAGGATGCCTAGGCCTCATCTGTCCCATTCATGCTTGTACCTGGGTCTGTCCTCCATTTGTGCTTATTACCTGTGTTTGGGTATCTTTATATTTAGAATTGTAAAGATGAGAAGAGGCCACAACTGTCATTGCTGGACTAATAAGATGACATTGTTTCATCGCTTAGAGTTGCTGAGCTGGCTAAAGGGGAAGTAGCTCATATTTTTACCAACAGACACATGAATAGGGATGGCAGCTGAATTTTTGTCTAGAAATGGCATTTTACAATGATTTGGAATAAAGTAAGATTCATTTTACAAAAGCGTTTTATATAAATTTTCAGAAACGTGTTGAATAAATTGAAATACCTGTACTCATGAATATTACTAAGTACCTTTAGTGCTTATAAATAATGGAATGATAAGGCACTTTGGCAAAATATTAGTGTATTTTTTAAAGGTTTTATTTATTTATTGGAACATGCACGAGTGCATGAGCAGGTGAAGGGGCAGAGGAGAGGGAGAAGTAGACTTCATGCTGAGAAGGGAGCCCATTGTGGGGTTGATCCCAGGATCCTGGGATCATGACCTCAGCCAAAGGCAGACACTTAACTGAGCCACAAGGCACCCCATATTAGTGTATTTTTTAGTATACTTCATATAGTATAATAGGAATGGAAGAAAAACTTCAGAAAAAAAATAATACGTGTATCATCAATATCTCCAGACTCTGAGTAATTCTATATGGACAATTGGATAAGTTGAAAGAAGAGTGTGTAATATATTATTTTAGGAAGTACCTCTGAATTTACAAGGTTATGATTTTTTAAAAATTGCTTAGGGGCACCTGGGTGGCTTGGTGCATGGCTCACGTCATGAGATTGAGCCCTTTGTCTGGCTCAGCATGCTCAATGGGGAGTCAGCTTGAGATTCTCTCTGTCCCTCTCTCCACTTGGGTCCTCTCTCTCCTTTCTTCCCTCCTTTCTCTCTCAAAATCTCTTAAAAAATTACTTAATAAGTCAAGTTGGGTGTAGTATTTAATGTCGATTTTTGCTTTTTATTTATTTATTTTGGTTACTGCATTTATCGAAGTTAAAATATCATAGGAGTGATTTATTCTATAGTTATTTGATAAACAGATTTGTCTCCAAATGGATTTACTCCTTTTCAGTTTTGTAGCTAACTGCTTGGAACTTTATAGGATATTTCTCTAACAGTAGAAATGTTTGCAGGTGGAGTAAGAAGTGTATTTTGATTAATGTAAATTGACTTGTTTAAATCTGAAGTGGAATTTTCTTTTAGGTGTGGCGATTCAGCACTGCATTTTGTTCTGTTAATGAATGGAAATTTGCTGACATCCTAAGCATGGCTGACCACTTGAAGAAATGCAGTTACAATATTGTAGAGAAACGGGAAGAAGCCATCCCATTGCCATGTATGTGTGTGACACGAGAACTCACTAAAGAGGGCCGTTCACTCCGCTCAGTTTTAAAACCTGTACTTTAAAAACTGTAATTCTACTTGCACACACATGCAAGCACCTAGTATAATTTCTTTGTAATATGTGACACTTTATTAATGTATTAAAGATTACAACTAGATAAATTTATTGCCACTATGTATATAATGTTTTGAAGTGACATATATTTTTATAAAGTACTGTTTAGTTGGGAAAAAGTTGCCTTAATGTTTGAAATGTGTGAAATTTTTGGAACTTGCTGGACAGGGTGATTTAATTTTTAGCTGCATAATTTTCAGAATTAGTATTTTTAATGGTGTGCATATTTTGGTTTTTAAATTTTTTGTTTCTTAAACTAACAAGATCCTGACCAATTTGTCCCTCATGTTTTTTGTGGGTTATAACCCATGCATTCAGAAAGCAAAACTTTGATTCAAATTTTTGCAGCATAAGTTTTTCAGATAAAGACATTCAATTGTTTAAGGACTGCCATAAATCAAAAGATTTTTATTTTAGTGCTCCCCTTATACAATTGTTGATACATTGATGATCTTTAATATATATTTATGTAATATTTAAAATCATGATTAATGTTTGGTAATGCATTTATCATGTTTTAAAAATACCCACAAAAGTGTTTTCATCTTATGTATTTGCAGCTCTTATACAAAGAGTGACCACATGCAACTTCCTTTTTTTCTAAGACACCACATCCAAAGACTCTTAGCAATGTGTTTTATAAAATGAAAGCCAACAAAAAGCATGAACTTATTTAAATTTGAAACTCTTCATGGTATGATATTTTGCTAGGTTTTTGATATTGGAAAGAAGAAAATATACCTCATTTAAAGTTCAGATTGGACATATTGTATGAATAAATTTCAAATAATCAGAATGCAAAGGGCTTAACTTTATTTCCTAAGCATTTAGAATTTTTGCCTTTTTATGTTTATAAAAGTCACAACTGATACTATTTTAAGACGTTTAACAATGTGAAATTTGGGGTCTTTGTAAAGTGACAATCATGAAATGGAAAAATATGTCTCTGTTGACAGTTTCCTTAAACCATTTCCAGGTTTATTTCCCATATACTTCTCTACCAAAATGTAAGAATTGCATCTTTGTGTGAAGATTAAGGTATAACAGAAAAATATTCAGAGTCCTATTTTTGAAGTATTGTATTATAGTTTTCAAATTGATTTACACTATTATTAACCTAATGTGGTCAGTTAAAAAATGAATATATCAATATTTAGAAATAAATTTCAAAGATTGGGGAATACTTAAATAATTTGTTTCAATTAGCTTTCAGTATTTGGTAGTCTAAAATGGATGACAAGTTATCTTGTTATACAATATCAAACTTATATTGTGTCTTCTCTTGCTACATTAGTCCCTGAGAGTGCTCTATTGTTACTAGGGTAACAACACTATGGCAGTTAAACTGGGCAGATGTGTTCCTTGGGCATTAGAGAAGGACTCTGAACTGCTTAAGACTCCTTTTGGTTGGATCAAGCCCTTATTACAGTTGAAAATATAGCATTAAAGACTGATCAATTGCTTTGTCTCACCTATCATTTCAGTTAGAATATTTCTCAGTACTTAAACTTTGAACTGTGAGATTGAATTATATAAATTGTCTATTTCTGAAAAAGTCAGAAATAAGATAAAAAAACTCTAAGATAGAACTGCCTTTCCAAGTTTTGCTGAAGAATGTGTCTGGTTAGGATAGCACAAACATTAATGTTTTGTTTTATGGTTGTGCTTGTTTGGTTTTTAAGTTTAGATTCCTTGTTTCTACACTGGATCATGAGATATTTAACAGTTTTCCACCTTATATTTCTTTTACACATCTTTGGCTGTTTTCTTTTTTGTTTGTTATGCCACCATATGATTTTGTTAAAATGTTTTCTTTGTGCAACATTTGTTCAAATTCTAATAAAATTAATATTTTTCCTTTATGTGGCTCAGTAACTTAAAAGGAAAAACTTTTGTTTAAATAAAATTTTAATACTTGTTTGAAAGATTCCAAAAGCAGTGTTTCTAAGTAGATTTTCCGCATATTGTAGGAGTTGTTTGTTATCGTTGCTCACCCATGTTTTACTGGTGAGAATTTTTTTTTTTAATATGAAAAACTCAATTAACTTTCTGTGCCCTTTCAGTGTTCTCCTGAAAGTAGTCCCATCTAAGAGTATTGAAAGGCTGAAGAGTTTCTGCCGATACTGTTTTTCTAAAATTTGTCATGGGAACAAATCTATCTAGCCTTTTAAGTGTGAAAAGGTTTGTATGTCATTTAAATGTCATTGTCATTCTTTGCTCATTTCTTAGTTTTTTCTAATCAGCAAGATAAAGGGCAAGTATCAAGATGGAAGAAAATATCTGTATTCACTTTTATCTGCTGCCTCCTTTGCCAGAACTGCATGTCTTTCTCTTTCTCTCTTTAGAATGCACTCTTGCTCGCTCCTTCTCTCCCTCTTTTCATTAATTTAATAACTACAGTATCACCTGTTATCTACTTATCTCCCTTTCTCTGTCCTTCTCTTTCTCTCTGTCTATTGAGATTCACAGATTATTTACAGTAGAGGTTCCCAAAATGTCCCTGGACCGGTAGCATCAGCGTCACCTGGGAATTTGTTAGAAATGTGGATTCTTGGGTCTCACTGTAGACCTAACCAGAAGCTCTGGTGTAGAAACTAGTAAGTCTGCTTTAAGAAAGGCCTTCAGGGGATTCTGATTTCACAGTTAAGTATGAGAACTTAGAGAGGAGCCTGGGACTTGCCAGCTGTTCTCCTGAATGATGTGGTATTGGAGTGGGTATGTTTGTGTATATATACACGTATAATTGAAAATTAAGAGTAATGGCAATTTATTTGTTACCATTCGGTTAAGTTAAATGATGTTTGTTGTCTCCATCTTATAGCTATATGACAAAGTACATTGGGTACTATGGTGGTTGGACATTTTTTTAAAAACTGGTATTTACTAATATTTAAGATTTACTGTTATTACTAGTATTTCACTTGTGTTTCTTCTCTTCAAAGTAAATTGCAGTGCAACTTACAGTTTATTAGCATTAACCTTTAGCCATCATTTGTTCTCATTCTTGTTCAGTGGTTGCAGTCATGTGAACATACTAGATTTCTAGAATAAGAGTAGAAGTAGACAAATACTGGGTTAAATCCTACAAAAATATGAGAATCCTTTCAACCCTATCATTAGGAGATACTAACGATTGAGTTTCTGGTTTATTAGTAGTGTAGAATCTGTTTTACTCTTTAACCCTATGCTACATATCCCAGCAATGTACTTGCTATTAATTATCCCCTGACCATGGATATTGGGATCTTCGTAACTTTGAAGATAATATGGTTTTCAACAAAACTTCCTTATCCCTTGAACATATGGTAGCTTATGTTACTATATTGATAGCATATGGTTAACCTCTGGCAATCTGAATGTAGTTTTTGGCATTTAGAAGTAAAATAGATTTCTTTACATGTTGCATCCCAATCTAAAAAGACCTAGAATTTATTAATTTAAAAAATTTTCTAAGGGATAGTTATGCAAACATTAAAAAATGTGTTTCCTGCATGATATATCATATCAGAAGGTGATGGATTGGCACCTCCAGGGGTGAATGTTCAGAATTGTAATAGAAGAAAGCAATTGGCCCTCATTCTCTCAGTAGACTGGACAAAGTCTTGATGGAAGGAATTTCACTAATAGGTGTTTTGGCTGGTTGTCTAAATATTGCTCTAAGTAGTTTTATTTAACACACTCATGAGGCCTAGAAAGTAAGAGAATATTTGTCATCCCTTTAAAGAAAATCAACTCATCAATGACTCATCGACTGTATTTAATGTAATTCAGTGATGGGTTTTGTTAGGATTTGATCTAAATCGGATTTCCAAAAAAAGTTTTGAGGTGTATAAATGAAGGCCGACTTTAGTAAACTTCTTTCTAAATAAGAGAAGAGGAAGGATGGTTTCCTTCTAATGTCACCTTTTATGTAATTATTTTCTTTTCTTTGATTTAAAAGATCAAAGTAAGTTCAAAAGATAAATCTTTCCAAGTTTCTATTTTAATGATGAAAAAACTGAGGTACTCAGAGTTGAGTACTGATGACTTTCTGGGGATACTTCAGAGAAATGTGTCCTGACATGGTTTACTCTTCTACTTTACAAATGCAGAAAGAGAAGGGACACTTAGATACAAGGAAATTACTTTGGAAAATACTGTTGCCTACCATACTTGATTCCTAATATCTGTTTTGGAAAGTTATATTGGGTAATACCAAGAGGGAAAAAAGTAGAAATAAACGAAGTACGGGTGTTGTTCTGAAAATCCTTTGCAAAAACTAGGTCTTCTGCTGAGTTTTTACAAGTACTTATTTGCATGTATAATCTTGGCCATAAATTGGCCAAGAGGATTTTAATAGATCTTGAGATATATTAACAGAGATACATCTTGAGGTGTTTTTTTCCTTTTTTACCTTAGAACAGTTTTTTTTTTAAGATTTTATTTATTCACAAGACACACACACACACACAGAGAGAGGCAGAAACACAGGCAGACGGAGAAGCAGGCTTCGTGCAGGGAGCCCGATGTGGGACCTGATCCCCGGTCCCCAGGATCACACCCTGGGTCGAAGGCGGCGCTAAACCGCTGAGCCACCAGGGCTGCCCTCCTTAGAAAAATTCAAAACTGACATTTTTGTGTTCAGAATGCTTGACTTCAAATGTGTTATTTGGGGAGTGACTTTTCATTAATTCAATAGTTACAAAGAAATGGTTATCAGGATGCTTCATGAATGTGCTTTATGTAGTAAAAAGTCATTGATATGAATCTACTGTTTTTTTTTTTTCTCTTTGACATGCTGGTCTGAGTATTGTTTACTATAAAGAAAAGCATTTCTGAAGCAAAATGACAACTTAAGTTTTTTTCTTTTCACTAACACCAGGGATTTTAAGCATCCCCCAAATCATTTTATTAATCTATTTGCATGCAAGTATTGTGATAGGAAATGGTTCTTCAATACATAGCTAGTTCTAGTAGTGATAATATAGTGTGTTTGAAAGTAATAAAACTACGTTTCTGTTGAACTCTTTAAGACTAACCAACTCATCAAGTAAAATCATCCTTTCCCAGGAAAAGCAAGTTCATCAGGTTTAATTTTTATGTTCTTCTAATATAAAGTGCTAGAATTCTTTTTTTCTCAGACAAGATCCTGAAACATATAAATAGATTGATGTAAGCCTTGGTTCATTCTATGGCAAAGAAACTGACACATGATAGCTTTCCACACCCCTTTTCAGTCAAAGAGTAACATTAATTGTTACACTATTCATTGATCTAATAATATAAAAACAGTAGCGATAATGTGTTATTGCTCAAAAGATTGAAGTTGAAGATAGGAGATCCTGCTCTTTGCTGTCCTCCTGGAATTCTCTTTTCAGTGAAATCCTTTTTTTCCATGTTAATTGTCATTACTGCTTTTTTATGCTTCGACTTCAGCTTTCTGACCTGTTGATCAAAATAACCGAGATGAAGTACGTAGAGTTTTTAAAAACTTGTTCTAATCAGCATTATGTCTAGTAGTTTTGGTAAGTTTAGATTTGATTAAATAACACATTCAGCTTCTTTTAAAGTCTCAGCTTACAAATTTGTAGCTATAAAAAACAAGTCAGCATTCAGATTTAACTACATTATTTGATTATAAGAAGTCAAACCATGTAAATGGAAATGATTTAAGTATAACATCTGTCCGAGAGTAGAATTACCCGGTGAATATTTAATTACGTCACATGGGTGTCTTTTGTATCAATTGACAACTTAAAAAAACTATGACTTATATTAGGAAGAGATTTGAAATAGAGAATGGTATTGATTTCCTACAACATTCCAAAAGCTTTGTGATAAAAACTCTGGCATATGAAATAAATTGTTTTGAATTGTTACTAATTCAGTGGAAATGAATTCTTAAGATTTTTGTGCTGCATATAAAATGTTCATTTGATCAGTGTTCAAGCACCAATCAGTTCTAAAAACTTGAATGCATTCTGAAAGGTAATTGTACTGACTCATTCACTTACCTCATATGTCATTTAGATTCCAATATATCTTTTCTTCCCATGATTTACATTTATGGTTGGTTTTTCTTGAAATGCTAAAGGGTATGGTAGTTCTTGAAAAATTTGCCAAGTAATAGAAACTAAATATAAAAAGGCTACAAACTGTGATTCCATTTATGTGAAATATCCAGAATAGGTAAATCCATTGAGACAGGAATCAGATTAATGGTTGCTAAGGGCAGGCGGGGAGGAGTGGGGATAGTGGGAGGTGATTGCTAATGGGAACTGCTTTTGTTTTAGTGATGAAAATATTTTAGAACAAGATAGTGTTGATTATACAACATTGTGAATGACTATGCCGCTGAATTGTACACCTTAAAATGGTAAGTTTTATGTTGTATGTATTTAACCACAATTACAAAACGGGAGTAATTTGCAGTTATTACCAAAGCCAAAAAGCACCTTGCTCTCAAGTTTTGTGAAATGCTCAAGTTATGAATTAATTTACAGCATTAGTAATGTGACAAATTTATTCAGTTTAAAGTCCTAATGAAATTCATGAATCCCATCACAGAAATACTGCTAACAGCAGCAGAAATAAAGTTGTAATTCATCACAATTTATTAATACAATTTGAACTGAGCAATTGGCTTCAGTGTCAATGTTTATGTTTCACCTTTTACCTTTTCTTATGATTCTTTGGGGAACATTTCAATCACATTTTTTAAAGGTCTGTTTTTAAAATCATGCTTTGAAGACAATTTGTATAATTTTCAGGATCATTTTTTATAGTTTTATACTTTGTGTTTCTTTTAAAGAGCAAATACAGTGATGTATTACATAAGACTAAATTAATAAATTGAACCATTGTATACATTTTGTATTCTTTT